ACCCGACACTACCAGCACAAACTCTTACCATATTTCTTGTAAGTTTATAATGGTTTGACAGCCAGAACCACTAACACAAACTACATACTATATTTTTCTTCTTAGTTACGACATTTTGCTATTATTTTTTGGGGGGTCTTTTCAGCGTTCGTTTATTTCATTATTTTTACTGTACTCTTCTACCTGAAGATAAAATTGCTAGAGTTAAGTTAATTATTATACCTATTCAGTGCATCACGGTATTATGAGAATGATAGAGACATAACATTCAACATTAGCATTTGATTATAAACACTAAGAACATTCTACCATAAACACAACATTTCACAATGAATGTATAACATTCTATGAGCGTCAAGACAGAATTCGACGATAAACACATATACAACATTTTATCAAACACCCGAACCGTCAACATTTATAGTTCACGACACACACACACAAAGGCTTTACATTTGAGACAGCAGGAAGGTGGAAGTGGAAGTTGAAGTTTATTGTTATTTTTGTTTATTTTTGAGTGACAGTCTCTTGTATATCTGCTTCATCTGACAGTCTGTTTGATTTGGTTTAGCTGATTGAGTTATTAGTCACCACTCTCCAAGTTTCTATTCAAGCAACTTCAACAGTCAGGGTTAATCTTTACTGTCCCATTAAGTAAAAATTTCTGTCTGCTTCAACTGACAGGTTACAAAGCACTATTCTCATGTATGTATGTGTGTATGTATGTATGTTCACAAGCCCCTAACGACACCTGCTGTATACCAGAACAATACATCATTCATTAACTCATGTCATATGTATACTCTCATGTATCTATATGTATGTATGTATGTATATTCACTAGTCGTGTGTGTCTGTATCATCTGGATAAATAGCATCACTGTGCCTAGGGTCGAATTCTGTTGTCCCTGAATGATCACACAGTCAGGGTAAAGGTTTGTGTGTAATGGTGGTAACTTGGTGGTGGTGTTTCAGGGCTCCAGATACGTTACCATTGACTATTTTGGTGATTTTTTTTTTTAATTTTGCGAATTAGCAATACATCGATGGTAGATTCACGATACCCCAGGTACTGTCTGTGTGTGTGTGTGTGTGTGTGTACGCTAAAAAACACTTCAGGTCAATATTTTCACACTTTGTACACAAACTGTACTGGGAGTGAGACTCGGCCATGGTAACGGTGGAACAAGTTAACAACAATTACATGAATTATTCACTTATGGCTTAACTTTCCAATTTTTTATCAAACTTTACACTATACATAACCCAACTAGACGATTATTTTAGCGCTAATAACAATAGTCCTTATTTCAGATAATTATTATATTTAAAAGAATTATATATAGTCACTTAATATCTGCTGTCTATGAGAACAACTGAAACTGTAGCAGGTATAATACTTATTGTACAGTCAAGAAAAACAAATCCTACGCCCCTGAGTCTGACGACTTTCACAACGATCATATTGAATAACATCGCAAAGGTGGAGAAATTTTTATTGTTGAGTTTACACCAGACACACACCCAACCCAGGAACTTATTGACCAAGAATATATTATGTGGAGGTGAGAACGACTCGAATACATACTGAGCATCTGTGGTGGTCCTCTTGGGGCGACCCTCACTAACAGAATGGTAATGTCATTTGAGGTAACATTAATAATATCAACGTTGGTGGGTGGCCATTAATATGTAACTATTACCTCCAGTGTTTCTTACTTGAGCTACAGTATATTCCATGAACTCCTGGGATCTGTCTCTCGGGTTAAAGCTCACTTATCTCCATACACCAGGTAGGCTCAGGTCCTGTCACCCCAGAAATCTCTCCATTTTTTCTTATTATAAAAAAGACGATTTTCTACAATTTCTTAATTAGTAAACACAAGAGAGACTGCAGCCGGGTAATTCACCTCACTGTTAGGTCATCAGGAAAGAGTTCTTGTTGTAGTGGGGTCCTCTCTCCTTCTCTCTCGTTTTATCTCTCTTTAATTCGTAGAGAACAAGAGACATTACAATTGTCTTTTCATCTCACAGTGTTCTTGGAGCACGGCGGCGCGGCCTCCCCTCCTCACGTGCCTCCCCTAACATCAAACTTTTACATATATTTTGCATGTGCCTCCACCTACCTCTCTCTCTCTCTCTCCTCCGCTACTCTTTAAACCATCACTACTCTCCTCTTTTCCACTCAACGTATATTAGAACTCGTCCAACTTCAGCACTATTCACCGGGTCCACTTACCCAAAGATTTTATAAATATTACAACTTCTTTCGTATTAAAATTATACCTGTCACACGTTTATTAATTTTACCCTAAACTGTTTTGATTAATACTACCATATTTTTTTATTTTATTTATATGGTTATTAATGATCATACAAAATTGCTTTAAACGAAACAAGATTAAAAAAAGTCAAACGGTCAATATATTACACAACAGACGCTCGTTTAAAGCAAGCACTCCCACATATAGTAAACAATATCACTTCAAAATTATCACGACCCAGATCTTCGTTTAATAACAACAAGCGATGAACACCAAATCTGATTAAACTTAAGGACATCGAACCCACAACACGAGAATATATTAGGGCAGGTGTTAGACTAGGGCGACACCAACACCCTGTCCTCCACTCTGAGTCACCTCCCCTGCATGTGTCACACCTCCGCGCCCCTCCTCACCCAAAGTTCATTTCCGATCGCGATTCTAATTTACCGAACTTACTTTTTTTTAAACTGACGGCCAATGTATTTTTGAATGATTTTTATCCATTACTCTCCTCGTCATCAAAGTTCAAATCCAACCACTTGATAAACACACAGACTTCTTTCTCTCGTATTCAAGTTCGACTATGATTACTACTTCTTTAACGTACGAACACTGTGGACATAAACACAACACAACAGGATGAGGAATGATGACCCACGCCAGGCAGTCCCAACTTGAATACAAAACAATATTTTTAAAGCTGTAACCTGACCTGACCTCACTTGGTACACACAACCTGACATTTTGTTCCTGTTCAACCGTGAATGATTATTTACTAGTTGTGGTTTCTCTTATTAACATCGTCGGCTTGAGGCATTCGCAGCATTCATGAAGTCATTATTATTATTTTTCCTTCACCCAGTACAATGTCGGAGGAATTTTGATCGAATGTGGTATACGTATAACGAATATTCCATCGGTATTAGAAACCTCATAACTCTCTCTCTCTTTCTCTTGGCAGTACAACCCCCCCCCCCCTAATTACCACTTGTGTAATCTGTACAACACACATCTAATTTACTCTCACGTTTACACGAATAAATATAACCACGTGTAAATTATGTAATACAAATCTCCAACGGTAAGTATTTTTTTCCAAACTTTTCTCACGATTTTAATATAGTTTCATTAGTCCATCTCTGAAACGGGTGGGCAGTTTGGACACACCTGGGGGCATAAAGTCCGGCTAGTCATTACAAGTAGAGATACAAATATATCCCATTTTTTATATACTGTATTATATATGACGCTGTATCGGTCTATCCTCGATATTTAACCGAAACATTACATGAAGTTCAATGTTACAGGCTGAATCTGATACGACCTCGCTATTCTGAAAGTCATTCATGTACTCGTAAGCCCGATCTGATAAGTCTGAATCACAACTGTTGCCCCGAGACACATACACACGAGTCACCGATACCAAATACCCAGGTAAAACACTAAAGCAGACCTAACACACTTTTCTTCCCTTCACATAGGTCACAGAAATCGAATACAATAGAGACCAATCCTACGCGTGAATGAGATTTTCTGTAACACACAAACACACACTACGCGAGACATCACTCTTAACTACGATTACTTCTATAATGATGAGAACGAAGACCATGATTATTTTCTCCCTGACTTAGAGAGACCGTCTCTTTAAAACTTTCCGTGAGGAGAAGAGTCTCACCAACTTTTTTCTCGTCACTTTAGTGTGTGAGGGAGAACCGTGTCTCTCTCTTGTTAAATGAAGCGAGACATAAATAGCTTCTCTTGCTCGCTATCTCTCTCTCTCTCTCTCTCTCTTTTTCAGCTCGTCCAGAATTGAACTTGTCACTCACCACGGCGCCTTAAAACGAGTCTCTTGACGCACGAGAGATTTGATCTTTACACCGAGATATACTTTAAGGTCACACAGCGTCGTGTCTCAACTTGAAAAAAAATCGGAGAAACACAAAATTATACAACGCGCGAGGTTCTGAACTTACGCCACTATGCGATAATTATTTTAACTTAAATGCACGACGTTTTATATTTATACACTGCGCCTGGAATGAATAAGCGTACACACTGCGGGAATATGTATTTAAAGTGCACCCGGCGAGAACTTCCCACTGCGCGTATTTTAACTCATAGAAATCCGTAAGACTTGAACTTTCAACAGAACACAACATCAGAACTTTAAAACACTAAGCGAGACGTTTGACTTGACACGCAATCTAACCTGCGCTAAGTGTACACACGAATGAATGTAAACTTAACACCGCGCGAGACTTTAACTTTTACAACTGCGCTGCGTTAAGAGTTGGAACTTTACACTGCGCGAGAGTAAGCATGAACTCAGCGTACGGCGGCTGGGTGGTGATGGTGGCAGCCTTACACCAGACCTTGACAACGATCAACACTACAACAAAATGTTAAAAAACATAATCAAACGCACCAGCTGTAGTATTTTAAACCACGCCAAACAACCACAGCAAACCAGCAAAACATCACTCGCTATTTCTCCACTTATAGTTTACATCACTCAGCACCGAGAACCACGATCTCGTATCGAAATTCGATTCGAATGTTATAACAAAATACAAGTGTTATGTGTGGCAGGGAGGTCGAACATCCCGCGAGAGTTGTGAACACCTCACTTAGAATGCAGCGTACTTTTTCCTAAGTTGACGTGTTGTGATCACCACGTGTACTGCTGGAGAAAGTTTAAAGATATATCTGCTTTAAAAGGACACTACTTACCTTTCATTGAAGAGAAGATCTTCACTAGTTACAGTTCCGCAGTAAGAGCCATATATCCATGATCAAACACCACACACTCAATAAAGTTTCCAGAGATCCTGTTTTAGCCCGTGATAACTTTTTTCAAAGTGCTGCTGTTACCTTTTCCATTAACTAAATAAAACTCCTCAACCAGGTCTCGGTCTCACACTTTACTCTTACAGAGAATACACTCGATATATCCCTCAATTTCCTCCGTAATTCACAAAGTTGTCATCCATTTACCAAGTCGATCACACGGTACACGCTGGGATCAGTCAAGTCCCGGGAACCGAGAGAGCGAGGCAAGCACGTCCACCCGTCACCAAGTCTCACTCGACACTGAGCTCCGTGGAACCAGGGTCGCCAGGAATGTTAATGAGTTAGTTCTCCGCGCCGTCACCAGATGGAACCTTTATCGGCGGCGCGGCGTGAGGCAGCAGTGGCGGCCCACACCTGAGAGAGACGTTATCCTAGATTAATTCCTCATGAACCTCCAGCTCGGCAGACTTTAATACGACTGCCTTCATCGCTCAGTGACTGCCGAGCAAGGTCTTGGACTCCCGTGTTTTCGCGACTTAGTGGCCAACTCCCAACTTGTCGATTAAGCTGGATATAACTACGTGAAAACACAAGAAAATCTACTGCAAGACATATTAATAATCCTACTAAGAAAACGTGTGAAGGGTTCACTAAACACAGGTAATTTAAGAACGCGTAAAGACGATTGACACTGCGCGTATGACTTCCCCAACGCGATGTTGAGGACGTCGGGGGAACCACCATCAGTAGTCAGTGTTCTACCTCACCACCGCCCGTCAACATCACCTGTGTGTGTGTGTGTCCAACAAGAGGAACACCGCGCGGAAGATCTTACCTCTGATACACGAGAATTGGAAAGATATTTTTACATCATGTTATAGGAGTTGTTGTTACCTGTACATCTACGTGAATGGGTGGGTAGTGTGTGAACATCCCAGGTGACGTGACAGTATATATATATATATATATATATATATATATATATATATATATATATATATATATATATATATATATATATATATATATATATATTTCAGATTTATCGACTACAGTAAGTGATGATAGTAAATATACATGTATAATTGATCGCTTCAAAGACGAATTAATACTCAAGTCACCGTAATCTAATCTTCAGGTAAGGTCGACAGATATCAATAACTTTCTATATATATATATATATATATATATATATATATATATATATATATATATATATATATATATATATATATATATATATATATATATATATATGAGGGTGTTATTAACACACGACCTTAGTACAGACATTACCACATTTATTCGCTATTAAAAAGGAAAACACAAATAAAATTACATTTAATTACATCAAAATAAACCAACACACACGAGAGCTGCACCAGTACACTACCTGGAGTTTATCACCAAAAATACTAATATTCAAAACTGCAGGTATAAATATGACGCATCTATTTTCCGGAACAGAATTAAATAAAATGAACCATTTACGTAAAGCCATAGCGTTGTTATATAGTTGTCCCCAACACACACATACTGCCACTAACTGCCTGGTCCTGTGGGAGGTGTTAATTACCCATAAGGCAGTACAGCTCGTGTAAGTTTTATTATACTAACATTTATCACACACTATTGTATATAACTCTCGACCACTTATGGAATTATGAGTTAAGTTTTGATTAGGTCAGGTTGTACTAGTTTAGGTTAGTTCGTTTCAGGTTAGGTTTGGTCAGGTTAGGTTGTTTCAGGTTAGGTTAGGTCAGGTTAGAGCCAATTAACGCAGGATATAATGGAAACAATCTCAAATTAATGGCTTCTGACCTTTATCATATTTGACCACATTTACCTCAAGATTATTTTTAACTAAATTAATACAAACATCTAAGTTACTGTATTGTGTGTGGAGTAAACAGTTGTATTATATGAGGGTGAGATGTAGTGAACCTGTGAGAAATTATTTGATAATTTTGGGTAAAGAACAAAACTTATCAAATCACTACATACTCTGTAGACCATCACGGATATCAACATTAATTACTCGTTATAGTTTATAAATAAAATGATATCCGACAAAAAACAAAACATGAATTATTCGTTCCTTTGAAAAATGGAATTATCAATATAAGAAAACAGGCACAATAATCTTCGATAATCCGACTAATCATCTCTAGTGAATTAATTACGATTTAAAACATCAAAATAATACATCTAAAAAACTCCGTCTTGATTCTGAAAACAATTATTTTTTTTATTATTTCTTCGAGTAAATAAAGAAGACTTACTTATGATCCTTCACAAAAGACTAATAACTCTACCCCCGAAAGACAGACAAAACGATAATAAAAAAAAATATATAAAAAACCCGAACTACTGTATTTTACCTTATTAACACACACACACACACACACACACACACGTATATCCATCAACCATCCTTTCTTAATACTGATTTATTGAATAATTTATCTACGTATATTGTGAGATGAAACCCTATGGCGATCCTTTCCTGAATAGGATAAGTTGCCAACCTCCTGTAGCTCGTAGGAGGGAAGGTGAGAGGCAGGAATGTAGGTAGGACTCCCTCGTTGGTTAGGTTAGGTTGAGGTGTTGATATATGAATAATGATAGTAGTAGTAATAACAATAGTAGTACTTGTAGTAGTAATTGTAATGGTAATAATACTAATAATAATAATAATATCGTAATAATGATATATATTAATAACCAGACAATAATAATAATAATAATAATTCGGTAAGGTTACATTCTATATACTGTACTATTATAAACTAATCGATCTTCCTTTACAATATATATATGGTAATGTAGAAACGTTTAACACTCGTAAATTCATCTTTTAGACCAGCCATCCAGACAGCCAGACACTCAGACATATTACCACAAGACATAATATGGCTTTAACTAAATAATATAATAACTATAATCAACTCCAGTGTATAAAAATAACTCAAGTACATACATCATTAACAAAAACAAAAAAATAAAAAAATATATATCTGTATCACATTGCGTCTACTGTAGATGTATTCAAATTTATTTTCAAGTTTATTGCGAAAAAAAAAGAAAAATCAATAAAATTACATTGTCAAAAAGCATTGCCAGATGAATGATATTAAAAAAATAATAATAAAAATACAGACAGAATAGAACAGTGTCTAGTAAATACTGAAAAGAAAATTGTATCAGTACGAAAATAAAAAAATTCGTATAAAAGTAAATCTATAAAATTTATTCAGAAGAAATCTCTCCTTTTAATCAGCTTTATTGCTAGAGTGATTTACACAGTATATTGTATTTTAGTCGCTTTAATTTATTGTGTAATACTATAGGAATAACTTTACATAACAGCGTAAAAGTAAAGTCATTTAAGTAACAGTGTGAAGGAGCGAGATGATTTAAGTAACACTATAAAAGTAAGAATCATTATTAAGTAACATTATTAAAGTCTCAGTCACTCTAAGTAACTATATGAAATTAAGAATCACCATAAGTAAACATGCAACACTGAGATTCGCTAAAGTAACAATATTAAACTGCGACTCGCTTTAAGTAACAACATGAAGCTACGTGTCAGTTTAAGTAATAATACCGAACACAATTAATATACTATAACAAACACTTTAAGTAACAGAAATGCAGTAATACTTCTGTTCTTAAAAAAAAACCATTCCGTTCTTATTATTTGGTTGATTTTAAGTCAATTAAGAAAAATATGCAGAACAAAATAATAATAATAATAATAATAATAATAATAATAATAATAATAATAAAACAAATACAAATAATAATACAAAAATAAAATAATAATAATCAACAACAACAACAATTAACAAATGAAATACAAAACAACAAAATACAGTGGTAGCAATAATAAAAAACTAAACCTGTACAAATTTTAACAGCTGATGTGAGCTCCCAGGGCGGCCCTACATAACACTGTAATGCCCCCGGTGGTCACTCGTCTCTAAATGAACGTTATCTTTTCCCTTTATGTTTCGTTCAGGGGGTCACGGAAATGAGTCGCCTGTCTATAGTATTTACCTGTTTATAGCGTTTACCTTTCTATAATATGTACCTGTCTATTTTTTTACCTGTGTGTGTATTTTATAGCCTGTGTGTATTGTTTACCTGTGTATAGTGTTTACGTGTCTATTGTTTACGCATCTATTGCCACTCCATAGCCTTTAATTGTCTTGTGTTTACCTGTCTATGGCTTAGCTTTTACCTGTCTACAGCTTTTATCTGTCTATTGTTTACCAGTCCATTGTCTTACCTGTCTATTTTACTCGTCTAGTGTTTACCTTTCTACGGCATAGCTTTTATCTGTCTACAGCCTTTTTACCTGTCTATACCCTTTACCTGTCCCCCTTGCCCCTTGACAGAAGTTATTTGAAGCAGGATGTACTGATCTGACGGAAAAAAACCAGTGAAACATACAGGGCGTTCCAGTGAGTGGTAGTTGGCGGTATAAATGAGTTTTGATATAGACAGAGGTTCTATAAAATGGTGTTTCCTGTCTGTAGTGGAGTGGGCTTATCTGTCTATAGTGGAATGGTGTTTATAGTGGAATGATCTTATCTGTCTATAGTAGAATGGTCTTACCTGTCTATAATGAATTCGTCTTACCTGTCTATAGCAAAATTATCTTACCTGTCTATTCGAAAAAATATAATAATTCTATTTTTTTTCCTATTTAACTCATTAACAAATACATATTCCTCTCCTATAGTATCGTATCCTGAGCGTCCGTCTAAACGCCCGTCTAAACGTCCGTCTGTCTATATGCCATCAAGTGAAAGTCCTATTGACAGCCATAAGCTATAGTACTCTAAATAACACCTAACCATCGGAGTATCGGTCAGGTTAAGTGCGTAAATATCGGGAGGGTAAGACTGATAATACTATGAATAAAACGAGGAATATCGGAAGTATTTACTACATATTAAAGCCCATTAACTTATATTATTGTTAAGTAATGATGGTAAGTAAGTTAAGTTAATAAGGTTATTCTTAACACCAGGATATTTAACTTATTATTAATCTGTTAAGTGAAAGTATTGATATGTGACGTCATTGGGAAAATGATATATAAAAATCGATATACAAATTTACAAAGAATTTATATAAAAATCTGAAAAAAAATCAATTGCAGAAATGTTATGAAAAATTAATCTTTCAAAGGAATTATCAAGAATTTTGTTTTGATTTGACTATTAATATAATGATAATTTTACTACAGACTTCGACACCTCTTTCGTGTATGTGAGT